AAGCTATTTAGCTCTCATCAGCTAGCCATACCCTTACTGGGATTCGAACTTGTGGTGTATTACATCTTAGGCAGACATCTTAGCCATTAAGCCACAGGTCTCCTCCTTATCAGCTGAAGCCAGGGAAGAAGGGATATATTTAGTGTTCCTTGGCTTCAGCTGATAAGGAGGAGACCTGTGGCTTAATGACTAAGATGTCTGCCTAAGATGCAATACACCACAGGTTCGAATCCCAGTAAGGGTATGGCTAGCTGATGAGAGCTAAATAGCTTGAAATAAATCTATACTAGTCTCCCTTTATTTATTTATCAGCACAAATATAACACACACACACACAATTAATTAAAAAAAACACTTGATACTATCCTTCTCTTGATGCAGGCTAGGAGTGTGTTGGCTTTTGGGGCAGCTGCAGCATATGGCTGGTTAGAATAGATGTATGATAGCTCTGATAATTGTGATCATTATGAATGATAACTAAGACAGCTTACTGCATGTGATCAGGATTGTCAAAGCCTCGAGACTGGGATGAGTAGCAAGGGAAAGGCCTGGGGGTTTCCATATTTATGTATTTGGAGACCCCCAGGCAGCTGCCTCTACTGCCTTCACTTTATTTATAGCACTGCATAGATTCCGATTCTCGATATCAGTCTGGCTGGTTAAACATCTTAATTGAATTCAGCTTTATTCTGGGCTCCCTATCAGTTTTCACCCTGCTCAGATCTGGTCAGACGGCAACAGCTGTGAGAGACATATAACTATCAATGCATTCTTTACAGTGGTGATGCAGGACATCTCATGTTTAGCTAAATGAACCTGCCGGAATTAGTAGGAGGAAAAGAAGGAGCGTATGCGTCTTAGCGCCTCCGCAAGCCTCCGCGATGCTCCAGCTGTTCAGTGGAGTGTCGCGCAGGTGCTGTACGCATCATGCACAGAAGCGCAGAAGACTTAAAAGACCGGTAACGAGCTCGGGTGGGCAGGTGGGCCCTCCGGAGCACCATACCAGAATGGTATCCGGTGCTCCGGGCTGGCTCTGGTATGCCCGTACCAGGGCATACTGCCTGCAACCCACCACCGCTACTTGGGTAATGAAACATTTGCAAGAAAACAATCAAGCGCAGAAAGCAGGAAAGCCCTCCTCTTCCTCCTCCTCCTCCTCTCCATTTTCTTCTCCATTCTTTAACCCCTTTCCCTTCTGGCACTGATGGTGTTACCTACTTGTGGTCTGCTGTTCATAAACTCTGTCTGGGAGTTCAAATCTAGCACTGATGATGTTACCTAATTGGGTCATGAAATGTCTGCAAGAAAACAACCAAGGTCAGAGAGCACCATGGAGCCTACAACACATTCATTCACTCTTAAAGTTGAAAATGACTCTAAGACACTCCACTTAGACTTTATAATTATCTCACCATCAAATCATTTTATCTTCCAGTAAGAAAAAATAAAACCTGAAGCATGTTAGGCTGCACTTTATTAATTTATTTTAAAATTTTCAATTCACTTAACTGTATTAAATTATTCTAAGCCTCCTTGATGTGTTTCATCCGTGTTTGCAGAACATCATGATGTTTCTGGAATCGACAGGAACAGATTTATTGTTCTTCCTCCGAGTCGACTACAGTAGTGAAGGCATGCTTAAAAAAAGAAAAGAAAAAAGGGGAGAAAGACTGAGGCAACTTTGTAGTATTATTGGAATTTGTAAAGCCCAGCAAAATCATCTTTTATTTCTCTAATGTCTTTTGATGCCACCACAACAAAAAAGAAAGAAAAATTTGTAGCTTGTATTAAAAATGTACAGATTAAAATATCTGCAGGAAAAAATAACAAATGACCATTAAGAGAATGTAACAGTGAAAAAAAATGTACAGCAGGGAGAGGAGGGAGTGGGGGAAGAGAGAGGGAAGACAGAATGGAGAGAGGGGGAAGTGGGGAGAGGGATGAGAAAGGGGGAGAGAGGGGGAAGAAAGAGAAAGGAGAGAGGAGAGAGAGAGGTGAGAGAGGAAAGAGTGAAATGAGAGAGGGAAAAGGGGAGATAGAAGAGAGAGGGGAGAGAGAAAGGAGAGAGGGAGAGAGAAAGGAGAGGAGAGAGACAAAAAGAGGAGAGCGGAGAGAGAGGAGAGGGGGGAGAGATGAAAGGGGGAGAGAGGGGGAGAGAGAAAGGATGGAGAGAGGGGGAGAGAGAGAAATGAGAGAGAGGGGGAGAAGGGTGAGAGAGAAAGGAGAGAGGGAAAGAGAGGAGAGGGGAGAGAGAGGAGAGTGGGGGGAGAGATGGGAAAGGAGAGAGGGGAGAGAGCGGGGGAAAGAAAGGAGAGAGATGAGAGGTGAGAGGGGTGAGAAAGGAGAGAGAAGGGAGAGAGAGAAAGGAGAGAGAAGGGAAAGAAGGGAGAGAGAGAAAGGAGAGAGAGGGGGGAGAAAGAGGAGATAGAGGAAAGTGAAAGGAGAGAGGGGGAAAGGGAGAGAGGGGAGAGAGAAAGGAGAGGGGGAGAAAGAGAGGAGAGAGAGAGAAAGAGGAGAGGGGGAGAGAGAGGAGAGGGGGGGAGAGATGAAAGGGTGAGAGAGGGAGAGAGAGAAAGGAGAGAGGATGGAGATAGAGGGGGAGAGAGAGAAATGAGAGAGAGGGGGGAGAAGGGAGAGAGAAAGGAGAGAGGAGAGATAGGAGAGAAAGGAGAGAGGGGAGAGAGAAAGGAAGGCTGAGAAAGGAGAGAGGGAAAGAAGAGAGGGGAGAGAGAGGAAGTGGGGGGAGAGATGAGTGCAGAGGGAGGGTGGTGAGAGGGGGAGAGAAAGGAGAGAGAGGGAGAGAAAGGAGAGAGAGAAAGGGGAGAGGAGAGAAAGAGAGAGAGGGGAGAGGGGAGAAAGGAGAGAGAGGAGAGAGATGAGTGTCAGCCTCTATATTGCTTGCTCTATATTGCTTGACTGCCATAGTAATGGGGAGAGAGGGGGTTCATGGTATTTGGGAGGGGAATCGTGCTGGTGAAGATATCTCAAGAAGAGAGTTTTGTTCTCACCATCTTCTGCACATGCTGAAGGCTCATGTTTGGGTTTGGTCAAGGCGAACCATCTCTGCATACCAGCACCTGAAGATGCACCTACATGACACCCTTGGGGGTTGGAGATTGGACATTAAGGCCGAGGTAACTAGGGGGAGTGATTTGGGTAAACTTTTGATATGTACAAGTTCATGCCTTTTTGCCTCAGATCTTGCTTTACTTTTGCTGTTTTCACTTCATATCCAGTAAAAGTACCTTTTCTCTAAACCAATGGAGTTAAAGGTTTCCTTTCTTGGATTTTGAAGGAGGCATGCCTGACAAGGAGAGGGAGAGTGGGAGAGAAAGGAGAGAAGGTGGAGAGAGACGGGGGAGAGAGAGGAAGAGAAGGAGAGATGGGAGAGAGGGTGGGGAGAGAGAGAAAGGAGAGAGAGAAAGGAGAGATGAGAGAGAGGGGGGGGAGAGAGGGGAGAGAGATGGGGGACAGAGAAAGGAGAAAAAGAAAGGAGGGAGAGAGAGAGGAGAGAGAGAAAGGAGAGAGGAGAGATGGGAGAGAGAGGGGAGAGAGAGAAAGGAGAGAGGAGAGACGGGGGACAGGGATGGATAAACGGACAGAGTCATTTACTTACTTCAGATTGCTCCATTTCATCTATCTCTTCAACCCGACTGAGATGAGGAGCTCCATATTTGTCACTTAGTTCAGCCAAAGTCTTTGAAACTGCCTCCTTTTCGGCGGCAAGCTTCGCCTGGAACAAACATTCATTCGATAATCTCCAGAGGTTGGGGATGGTGGGGAATACAAGCCAACTAACATGGACAAAACTCCTCATCTGCAATGGCCTCCATAGGCTGAGATATAAACTCTTTTTCCATCCTTCTCTTTAAATGGAGAGCGAGAAGGTCATAAAATAGGCGCCTCAGGCTGGAATCTGCATTGTTCTCTGCTCATCCAGGCTGCCCTTGGTGAACTCACCTGGTTTCTACCTCCTCCCTGGGACTGTCTTTCTTGGGGGGGTGACATGTGGGTGAGGGGCACTTCTCTTACCTCCATCTCTGCCTGCCGTTTCTGCTCCTGCAGGAGCTCCTCGGCTCTGTCTCGTTCCATCCTCTCCCGTTCTTCCTGTTCTCGCTCCATCTGGGCCTGCAACCATTTCATGCAAGTTAGCAAAGATTCCCTCCCTTGAGGGTCCTTTGGTTCAGATAAAAGAGTCTGCATCAGAAGTATATGCCTGTTGCACCTCATGGGAGGGGGGGAATGGGTGGAAGTGGGATATAGACATGAAAAGAGAGGTGGGAGCTCCAGAATTTGGTATTCATCCTTCTGGTCATGGCATGGAAGAGGCTTTCCTAAGGGTTTATGAACGACACGTCCTCATGATGTTGCTTTCACCTTATTTCTATTCCCATACAGAAATGGGTTTGGGTGATCTTTAACCGTTCCAATGTTAAAATTGTGCTTTCCTCATTTTTCTTGATAATCACACTGCCATATATCAATGTTCTGTCTTGTGTCATTAATCGTGAGGTCCAAAGGCTAAGATCTGTCCAGCTGTTCTTGGCTACATTGGGCAAGTTATAGATATGCTCCCTTTTCTCCAGCTGCTCGGCATTGTCCATCAAGGCTGTTTGAACTTGGTCTTTAGCAGAGACCAGATCTGGTGGTGAGAACCCCTGGCTAGATCTTTCTGACTGGAAAAATGGGACCAGCTCTGGTTTGATAAGAGCACTAGTCCTTGGATGTAGGTCTGTGCATATATGGAGGAAAGGAAGGGAAAAAAGGGTGATCTGAGTGCCTCTCCTGATCTCATTCCCATCCCAGAAATTCATCCAGGATGTAAGTAGGGAAAGTGTTGTGGCCCAGCAGGAGCTGTTGGAGCTGCCACCAGACTCCGACAGCGAGGGGCCCTATGAGTCGGCCCTGGAGGATGTGGAGGACCCTGGACAGGGTTCCGACTCCGAGCAGGGCGCAGAGAGACTGGTTGGCCACCAGGTGGCACCTGAGCCTTGGACCAGTGGGGAGGAGACAAGGGAGAGTGATCCAGAAACCAACAGTGAGTTGTTCCTGGATGCACGCCATCGAAGAGCTATGAGGCGTCAGGAACAATTACACGATTACAGGAGGTAATTGCGCTCT